ACCATTGTACATTTATTAGTGTTGCGCTTGTATGAATATGTATGAAGCTGAATGACCCTCCCCACTTGGCTCACCAGGTTTTAGAAACTGAAGGCACGCTTTAACGATGAGTGCCAACCATTATAAAACTTAGATCTAGGGTTTCCTGTTGGCAACCTATACTGACCTTATATTTCACCAGTCCTACTGGTACTTTTACAAAAGCTTTCATAGAATAAATACCCTTCTGGCTTCCAAACTGTACACTGATAGATTTTTCGACTGTGGGGTTCAAAGATTCTTGAACCATTTCAGTGCGTCTTTACACTTTAAGTTAATTTAAACAAATAAAAGTTCATGGAGTTGGTACTTTACGAATAAAGCCACATTCATATGAAGAATTTATTTATCACTGAACAGGATTGTATGTTCTAGTAGGCAGTCAAAATAAATAATAACATGACTAATTTAAATAAAATTTCGTGCATCTGACTACTATCAAATAAATTCTCGTTACTATAAATATTGAATCATAAATTAGACTATTCTATCGTTCTTTGTTCTATTCCAACAGCCGAATAAAGAATAGAAGATTAGTTAAATTTGTCTTTGGATTAAGTTAATGTTAGCAATTGATATTAAAATCATTTGACAAGACAATGAACCTTGCTCAGTTGTCTTTTAGTAGTAAAATACTAAGAAACTACTTGAGAATAATTTAATATTTTCAGGTATAGTCATTAAAAGAAACATTTCTATGTGATTTTGGACTACTCATTAGTAGTCTATTTTCTATTTTGAGATGTATCAACATTCATAAACGTTACATTTGACCACATATTGATAGATTAAGAAAAAATTATCTAGTCATAATTAAAATACTTTAACTCAACTGTAATTGTTAAATCTTGAGTGAGGAATCTAAAATTCTATATCATCTATCTAAAGAACATTTCTTAATAATTAAAATATATCTAAGAGAATAATATCACTTTATTAACTCTTTGTGAAATAAAAATTACAGGGGTAGTATTACTGGACTGACAGTGTTATATAGATGAAGTGAAGAATAATTTGTCTGACATTAGGAAAATGTTAACATTTTGTACAAAAAAGAATAGGATGGAAATAAGAATTGCAGGAGAAATTTAGGACGCTTGAAAATAGTGTAACCTAGGTTCAGAATCACGCTCGAAAATTCCTAAAAACTGAGATATTCTAGTTACATGGTACTGGGTTTGCACTACCTACATAAGTCATATGAGCACATAGTACCTGTTGTGTTTTTATGTCCGGCTAGTTATCACGTTATTTATCCACCAATCAAAATACGACTTATACAATCTTAGCACCGTGCCAAACCAATGACCTCCGACCGGTATGAGCAACCTAGCGTCCTTATTGGTCCTATGTTCGCCTGGCACGTCCAACTGAGTCCAGAACACCAATACCAGCTCCCACTATGCGATTCGAATCGAATCATTTACTTCATACATACTGGGTTTATATATCAAACAAACAGACTGCAACGCACCATAAAATAAGAAATAACATTTGTACACAATAAAGCCAAAAGTGACTGTGAACGTGGGAGGCAGTAGTCAATAAACTGAACATAGCTTAAGAACAGCAAATCGTACAATAATAAACTATAGGTCAAAATAAAGCTTAAAACAAGGGGAATATAGACATACATAATCTAGTTACTGAATAATTATACCATGAGAATATATAAATAATATTAGTCCATTAATAGGTCTCAGACCTTACACGTAATGTAATCTTCACTAAGATATAACAGTACCCCCTCATTCCATTTCAGATGTGTCTAGATCACCATGTCATTTAAATTTTAAAATAATTCCAAAGAAAAGTGGTGACTATTCCAACTGTTTGAACACAGCGTTCACTATGTCTCGATATTAGGCGATAGAACGCAATAGACAGGAAACTTTGAACCTAGGTTTCATCCATAGCACTCGTCACTACTTAAATTTCAATTAATGTTCTTACCTCGGTACTACAGGTGTCTGTCGCGACTAGAATTACTCAGTGAAAATGTCCCGAAGTGTGACACTGATTATCATAGGTAAGAGAATCTGTTCCATTAATACTACAAGTGTGGCTTGATGATAAGTTTCAGTTAACGCTAAACCTAGGTTTATAGTTTTCTTTTAATTGCCAGAAATCATCTGACATTTTAATAATGTGAATTTTACAACGATGTTAGATAACCACAGTCTAACTCTGAATGTCAGTAGTACACTTGACTGAAAAGTATTGATAAGCAATTTATCACAGTTGACGACTTATCATCAATCCTTAACAATTCACAAATATTGAGACATAATAAACTTCCGGATATTTTCTTAACAACAGTACTGAAAATGAAGAACTTAATTTTGTTTGGAATAACAATGACTGTACATAAGCTAATTATTTACACAAGGCTCACCATCATATTAATTCAGTATTAATATACATTTTTTTGTATTCTAAAATTATTGTGTACATGACATCGATAATGAATATTCTCGATAAACGCTCCATCATAGATTCGAAGAAAAAAATCATTATAACAAGCTGAAAGAAGTGTATTGCCTAGTTGAATACCAATTCAATAGAGTGCAGAATTCTATATCTTCATAAAATAAATCTCAATGATGTTTTTCGCCGGACTTATTTTCCTTGAAGATCTTCATTTCAAGCATACAGTGTAATACGGTAAAATCACAGTTAAAACAAGTAAAATTTAGTCACTAACAATTCATCTTTGTATGGAACGCAAATGAATGTAATTAGTGAAGGAATTTAAAGGGAATATACTCAGTCAAAGAGAAGGAGGCTCGAAACACATATAGATACATACTGAACAGTATTAAAATATTCAGAACAATTGATTGACTATGAATAACACATATAAATAAAAAAAGTACAACTGAATGAAAACACGAGACATCAAGGTCAGATTGCACCAATGTGAAGGACGTTTAAACTAAATTATTACTGTTCATTTTAATTATGGACATAACTAACAGTTATAACATGTTAAAACAAAATGGAAATGTTTAATTGTAGAACACAAATAGGTTATTCCAAAATTTTGTATAACCTCATGAAACCTTATTTGTATACGCCTAATTCATTAAAAAAATTCAATTCAATTTACCTCAAAATTTCTTATTATTTGGAAACAATTTAAAGTTCCAACAAACGATATGAATGATAGCAAATACTTGTAATGATATGACAAAAATTAAAAAAAACGAATAATAGGTCAACAATGTATGGCACAAATCATGACATTGTTCATTCTAGTTGATGAGGAACTATAAAATAAAATGCACACACTTAATTTTTTTAAAAGTCTTTTTATTCTGTACACAATAAATTGGGCCACAGAACTATAATTATTTTGAAAGTGTGGAGAACATTTGTAGCTCAGGATGAGGATGTTGGAGGCATTATGTTGGCTGAGCTGGATGATTCAGTGTTGAAGCGTTTATTGTTCATTATCTGAAGGGGGTTTTGTGAAGATTTTAGAAAATTAATAGTTGAATTCATGAGTCAATTGAAGTTAGACCACCATGGAAAACCTGAAAGCACTGGACGGTCGTTTCGTCCTAGTATGGGACTCTTCAAAAGTGCACATCCATGATTGTTCCTCTAAAAGGACGTCATCAGCACATAATCCAGAGGGAAATCTCTTGTATTTTTAATGTTGCAATAAAAATATTTGATGAATTAAAATCTTAATTTATTTTCTTCTCTTATAATCATTAATTTCTTATACATTATTTCTTTACATATTGCTTTCAATCTAACCCATTTCGGAAGTTTTGAACATGAGATTTATTTCATTTTACATGTACGTTATTAGCATTTGTCTTAAATATGAAAAAAAATTGAGCCGATTTCATTTACTGACAGTTCCTTTTGTCTTTTCAAGAGATAAGAAACAAGGAGATAAGATTGTTAAATGAAGGATATCCGGCTTATACAAATACTTGTTTATAATTACATACATTTAAAAAAAAATGGTTGGTGAGGGTTGAAATTTATAAAATATATATGTATTGATGTTTTTCATTCCATGTTTGATAGAAATTAGGTTGCTCATTTGCATAAATTCAATGAGACATATGAAGATGTATATACCAGTACACAGAAAGTTTTGAAAGAGGATGTAAGAAAAAAGAAATATTCTGAGGCAAAAATAATATTCAAAGAAATATATTCATTCTTGTAGAGTTTCAAATTATTCCAAAAATGTTTAAATGGTCAAACAATGGTAGTTATCTTTGTTTAAGATCAATCTATATTTAACTAAATATATTTCTCTTTTCATTTATGTGGTTTTGTTGTTTATATTGAAGTATAGTTCTGTGATCGATAGTTGTCATTCAAGATTACAAGTGGGATCTATTCTCAATAAATTAAGGTTAAATAGAAAACTAAACGAATGTTGTAGAAATTATCATTATAATTATAGATTAGCAGCAAAACATAACAGAAAAGATTGTTATTGTGTTATTTTGTGTTGAATATAACTTCGATTTTTCGTCTTATGAAAGACACTAATCCTAATTTCAGTGTAATTGGTATATCACCATCATTAGGAAGTTTCGAAATGATTCGTAAATTCCTAACACAAAAAACGATGGAATATGAATCCAAACTACTGGTAAGCAATCATTAATATTTCTGCAATTTGGTGTCAACTTATCCTAGTTTTCATTATAGTCAATTTGACTGGTACCAACTTCTCAAGTCTTGATAATTTATTCACTAATAACGAAACGACCGTTCAGTGCTTCCAGGTTTCCCATGGTGGTCTAGCTTCAATTGACTCATGATCCCAACTATTGATATCAATATAATTTTACTGAAAACACCAAGTATAAGGATACTGAATCCCTAACTTTACATATACCAGTACAGACATTGCGACTCGTAAATGTGTCTTATCATTAAACAAAGAGAACTTGTTACTAATTCCAACCATCCGATTTATGTATTTTTATTATCTATACTGTAATCAATTAATTTAAATAAAAATTAACCAAGTTTCATCAAATATTCACAAAACAGAAAAAAACAAAATAAAACAAAGATCATGTTTGAATTTTAGGATTCATTAGATAAGTAAATAATAATTGGCGATGTTTCTGCCATTGCCAAAAGAAAACTAGTTCAATGATAATTTTATATAACAAAGTGTAAATTATCTTCTTCCAGCAAGCTGAAGAAATTCATCACGTAATTTAGCATTGTGTTTTAAATCACCCATCATAGTTGTTGTTATTGTGGTTGAATTGATCTTTTGTACACCACGCATAACCATACACATATGTGTAGCTTCAATTATTACACCAACACCTTTAGGGTTTATTGCTTCTGTAAATGCTGTAGCAATTTCCTTAGTAAGTCTTTCTTGTACTTGTAATCTACGAGAGAATATTTCAACAATACGAGCTAGTTTACTTAAACCTAGAATTTTTTTATTTGGTAAATAACCAATTGAAACACGTCCAATAAATGGTATCATATGATGTTCACACATTGAAAACATTTCAATATCTTTAACTAATACCAATTCATCATGATTTTCTTCAAATATAGCTTCATTCAGTATATCACTGACACGTTCTTCATAACCTTTAGTAAAATATAACATAGATTTGGCAGCTCTTTGTGGTGTTTTTAATAAACCTTGACGATTTGGATTTTCACCGACAGCAATTAAGATTTTATGAAATGCTGAAATTAAATCAGTATAATGATCATTTATACCTTCTGTAATAATACTGGCAGTATCTGATACACCTAGCATACTACCACCTAACGTCAAAAAATTTCGAGGATAATCTCTTTGCACATCCCATAAAGATATTTGACTATGTTTACGACTTGACTGTAAACTTAAACATTCTAAATGAGTAGTTGGTTTTATATTTAATTGTGATTTAGATAATAAGGATTGTTCATGATTATTAGTATTGTTCAATTTTGAATTTTTATTTTTATAATAACGATTATTGTTTTTATTTCTAATATTGTTTGATTGGATTGATAAACGTGGTTCATAATTTTCACATCTAACACTGAAACTAGATGATCGTTCTCTTGTTGATATATTATCATGAGATGTATTTAATAAGTTGTTCATATGATTTCCAATCTTGTCAGCATTGATATTACTGCCATGAGTCACAGTACTATCAATAATGGTAGTAGTAGTAGTAATATTATTAGATGTAGTGGTAATTGGATTATTTGTTTTTGTTATTGTTTTAGCATTCTGAGTATTGTTATTTCTTTTTAAACCACCGGTAAATGTTTCACGTGTAAAATGAAATTTTTTTTTCAATAATTGATAACCTTTAATTGGACGTTTAGGTGGTTCATTAATTAAACTCACTCCAGATGATTCTACTAAATTTGAAGTATCAACAAAATCTGAATCATTTAATAAATGTTTCAATGTTAACTTTTCATTAAGTTCTCGTTCAAGATTAACAGTAGTTTCATTAATTTCATCATCATTTTTAAGAATTAAATAGGATGCATTCATTTCTTTTGATGACATTGTCATCTTGGTATTTATAGGTAATGATGAATGAGATTGGTGTTTGATTTTATTTTCATTCATATTTAACACATGAAATACTGAATAACGTAACATGTGTAATGTGTGTACATATGTAATTTTCTTTTTGTAATAATTTAATGCAATAATCTGAAATTTTAATGAATATAAACAAAGATTAGAAGTTTAAAACGAATTATATTCATTAATTGAATTTATTATTCAGTTTATCTATATATTATTAGAAGAACGTGTGTATCATGATTATCCGAAATAATTAAGTTCACTTTGTCACAATGATTTATTTTTTCTTAATAACGAAGCGAACGAAACCTAGAAGTACAAACAGAATATTGACTAGAGAAGTTCTTAAATAAAAATTTGGATTTATAAACAAAGATGGATAGTGGCTTGCAGTGGATATCGTGACGAGCATTTTGTCCTATTTGGAACTCGTCAGCTGGGTGTAATTGCATCACAGAATTCTATATTGTACCAAAATATAATATTGAATAAAGACATTAATAATATTAATAATAATAATAATAGATATTTACTCCGTAACTCGAACCCAGTATCATTCGCTTAAAACTTATTTACCTACTTACGCCTGTTGCTCCTCGTGAAGGAACATACGTCATCCACCAGCATTCTCCATACAACCATGTTCTGCCCAATACTATACACTTCTCCTTCTATTTCCTCACGTAATGTGTTCTTTAACCTCCCACTTTTACACTTCCCTTCACGATTCCAAGTTACGGCTCTCATCGTGATGCAGTTTGGTGATTTGCCTAATCTATGTCTTATCCATTTCCATCGTCTTTTCATAAGTTCCTCTTCAACTGGAAGTTGGTTTGTTCTCTCACACAGAAGGCTGTTACTAATGATATCCAACCAATCGATGTTGAGTATCTTGTGTAGACAACTATTTATAAATACTTATACCTTCTTGATGATGGTTGTAGTAGTTCTCCATGTTTCAGCTCCGTACATTGGTTCAAGGTCAAAACAAGTCATACATTAATGAATTTTACAATGTTATACATTAAAAATGGTGAACGTTTGCATCTGTTACGACATAAATATTGCAAACTTATTTTGTGCACTTTTTTCTGCTCACGATTCTTTCTTTTTGTTATACTACTATTATATTGATTGTGACTTGACACTTAACTCCAAATCATTCTGACCTTTGTTAAATGACTTTTTGAATATGTAAATAAAACAATTTCGAAATATATGTGTCGTAACCGATAAAAACGTTCACCTTTTTTTATCTTCTTGATGATGGTTTTCGTAGTTTTCCAAGTTTCAGCTCCTTACAGTAGAAATGCCTTCAAGTTTGTATTGAAGATTCTGACTTTTGATATTGGTTGAAAGTTGTTTTGAGTTCCATATGTTCTTCAATTGTAGGAATGAGGCCCTTGCTTTGCCAATCCTTGCCTTTACGTCTGCATCTGATTCCTCCTTGTTCATCAATGATGATTCCCAGGTATGTGAAGGATTCTACATCCTCCAGAGTTTCGCCATCAAGTGTGATTGGATTACCGTTCTCCGTGTTGTATTTGAGAACCTTGGTTTTCCCCTTGTGTATGTTGAGGCTTACTGATGCAGAAACTGCTGCTACACTGGCTGTCTTCATCTGCATTTGTTCACGTGTATTGGATAGAAGAACTAGGACAACTGCGAAGTCCAAATCGTCTAATTGGTTCATTGTATCCCGTGTTTTCCCTCAGTTGTCGAGGTCTTCGTAATCCAATCGACCACCAGAAGAAAGAGGAAGGGAGAGAGTAGACAGACTTGTCTGACTCCATTCCTTACGTGGAATGCATTTATCAGCTTTCCTCCATGCACGAATTTGTACTATAGTTCGTCGTATGAGTTCCGAATAATGTCGGCAATCTTCTCAGGAATTTCATAGTGTCGAAGAAGTTTCCATAATGTTCTTCTATCCACACTGTCAAACGTCTTTTTCATAATCAATGAAGTTGATGTATAGTGACGAGTTCCACTAAACTGATTGTTCGACGATGATCCGTAGTGTCGCAATTTGGTCTCTGCGTTTGCTTAAAACGCTATCGCGTTATCCACTTAGCTACTGAGTCCTAATAGCTTCTTGCTTGTACAATGGGGTAAACAATACCAAGTGAATTTAAAGTTTGGATTTATTATGATTAATGAAATCTGATTTTATTTATTAAAAATGAATATTGACTAAAAGGCTCTTCCGATTAGGAAACCTTACAAAATGGCCGAAATTATTGATAATTAATTTTAAATAGTTATGAAGTATTCTATTCATTTGTTTTTTTCAGGAGTTTCCAAGCCAAAATAAATGTATTAACATTCAGGTGTATCGTGATTAAAGGGAATTCAAACTACTCCTTTCATTTAGTTTCAGGATGAATTCATACTTTTCACTGGAATTGGATTGGGTTTCTGAGAATTGATAATTTATGATAGTTAACATTGGTTGGTTATTTAGATGAAGATAGTTGTCCATTCACGATAATGAAAAGCAACGTTTGGGGATGATCAAATTTTACCACGAATCGATGTAGCTTGGAAGTGCAAAGCATCCGATACCAGCTCAGCCGTCAAAAAGTAATAGGCTAATCACAAGACGTTAAAGTTCTGGCCTTAATCTTTGACTGTGTCTTTAATAAACACCATTGAGAAATCTCATAGTTACACAAAATAGATGACCATTTCACTCTAATTCTTAACGGGACTCCGAATGATATCAGTCAATCACGAAAATCACCTACAAAAGTAACTGACTTGACGAATGATAAATTTTACTTGATCAGGGTCTAGAATCTGCTTTAAAGATCAAATTAACTACTATAACGTTCAGAAATCTAATTTATATATTGCTGGTGCATAGGAAGTTTCGATGCCTACGAACATTTATCACTTAATTAAGAAGAAAGGATTTACATACACAAACTTATTTTAAAAACTTTGGTTTAATTCGACTTAATTTATGTTCAGTCAGATAATTCAGTCGAAGATAACTATGTATCTAAAGTCAAACAACTACCAAATATGAAAATTTTTTTAATGCTTAAGGAAAAGCTGAATTTTATTTCACATAAAAACTTGGGAAAAAGTCCACCTAATTTATTGTTTATTCACTTAAATAGGTCCATTAGCTGATCCCATTTTGAAGTTGAATGTTTCATGCTCAGCCAAATTAACTTTCCCAATCACTGAAATAAAAATATGAAATTTAAACTATATTAATGAATGCTAACTGCTGGGATCCATTTACGGACTAATACTATACATATATTTTTATTGTATAATTGTTAAGTAACTAAATTATGCATATTCATGTTTCTCTTATTGTAAGCTTTATTTTGGCCCATAGACTATTATTATCCGATATACCGTTCTTGAACTATGTCCAGTCTATTAATTGCAGTCTCGCACAATCACAGCCATTTTTCGGCTAGGTCTTGTATAAATATTATTTTCTATTTTATGGTACGGTGTGGTATGTTTGGTTTGTATATAAACACAGTATGTTTGAAATACATGATTCATATTACAGAGGCTGAGTTTGGTGTTCTGGAATCAACAGGTAGGACTAAGCAGGAATAAGAACCGATAAAGACTCTAGGCTGCTCATACAGGTTTTATGCATCATTGGTCCGGTCGATAAGTCAATGCTTCCTAATTGGCGGTATCATTACGTCATATATTGATAGGGGCAAAAGGCCACAAGTTATAACAAATATATGATGTATAAATGTTTTGTATCCTTCAGAAGTTTTAAATAGTCAAGATTTAAAAAAATAGCAAAATGCATCGTATACATTTTAATCATCTGTGTAATTATTATATATATCTAACTCCTTAATACAATGAATAGTTCAACTCCATACATAGACAGTGAATATAATTATAATAAAGAGCGAAAAAAATTGATATCACACTAAAACAACGACGAAAAATACCTAATAATTCGCATATGTCATAGTATTAGTGTGGTAGGTATTAGTTAAACAGCTGTAAAACAAAATAAAAATGCATGAAAATATGTTTAAATGATTTGTACATCAATACATAGAAGTAAATATTCTGAAATTGTCTATTAAAGAAATATTAATTTCAATGGTTAAGATCATGAGTCAGTTGAAGCTAGAATATCATGGAAAACCTATTGTAGGACTCCTCAGCAGCGCGTATCCACGACTTCGCCCCCTGCGAGATTCAAACCCAAGACCTACTGGTTTCGCGCGCGAGTACTTAACCATTAGACCACTGAGCCGTCATCCAACGGTGTTAATGTCTAACTTCAACCAGTCTACGAAATTGCGCCACCATACACCATTGTCTTCAGTGAGTTGATATCTCACAACGGACCTGATTGAACTCCATACTAGGACGAAACGACCGTCTAGTGCTTGTTTCCCGTGGTGGTCTAGCTTCAACTGACTCATGATTTCAATCGGTGAAAATACTTAATTAAAACAGAAAGTCATGAACAATGTTCTACTTTAATTTCTAAATTGAATTATAATGTGATCAATTTTGTTACAATATGGTGAATAGATGAAAATGTTGAACTCAAGAAGATCATATTAGATGAATTATATTGTATCTATAATTATGTACGATTATTAATAAATTTATTATCATTATAAGTTTTAATTTAACTCATTAACTGTTTCTATTTCATTTACTGTTCAGAAATTAGTTTATTTTTAGTTTCATACTACAAATACCCTAGTTTTGTACATATTCTTATCGATTATTTATGGTGCTTTTTAATTCTGTGCTTGATGTATATAATGAATCAAATGAAATTTTAAGTCGCAATAATAATAAAGGACACAAGGTACTAGACTGAGAATTTCATAGTATTATGATTAGTGATTTGGAGTGTTTATTAATTTTGAGTGGTATATTGATCACTGACGTAACCAGTACAGAACTTAATGGTAGTGAGCATGAGAAAATCCTTAGTAAATGTGTATAATGTTTAATACTAACCGAAACGCAATTTATTGCCTTCAGAAAGCTTTATTTGTACAGTTTTATGAAAAAAAATATAAATTAGGGGCACTTTTTTATTATTCATAATCAGTGGTTATGTAGACTTGAAAAGAAAAAAAACATTTTAATTACATTATTCATAT